ACTAGACTTTCATGTCTAAGGCAGGACTAGAGCTCACAGTCTCCTGGTTTCTTTCCACTAGACCAAACTGGCTCTTCAATCTTTTTTGTCTTCCTAGTATTTTTTCTACAAGTGCAAGTTCCTCTTTTTTCATATCAATATTAAAGATGACCTTCAAATTTAAAAGAAGTAAATTTACACCCATTTCTAGTATCTTATCTTATGGGAAGCTCAATCAAAAAGAAGTTTCTTGGTAAAGATGCTCAGGGCTAATACATCTAGTAATCCAATCAACTCCATATTTAGGTGTTTGCAAAGTAGACACAGGTCCTATGTCTTTGTCTTTTCAGGGAGTGAGTGTCCTGGCAGAAGACTTTTTGTATCAGACATAGAAATGCTGTGGGCTCATGGAAAACAATACACATAAAAGTTGCCAACTATATTGGAGGGAAAAAACATACTGCTTATAACTACTGCATAATGCCATGATTTAATTATATTTTGTTAAATAAGAAATAAACCATGGCTTGCATAAGTATGAATCCTAATCTTTATCTGCCTTTGTTTGAATGAATCCTATGACATTAGTTCATCCATACCTGTAATTTTTTTCAGAAAGAAAAGTAAGACATTTTCAATAGCATTACCACTAACACATAATGAAACTCCTGCTACTTTGGACACAGAAATGTGCAAAAATTGGAAATTTGAACTTATTCAAACTTGTAATATCCTGTTCTAAATCAGAAACACCCATTTTGAGCACAAAATAATCTGCTTTCAGTGTGAGATTGGCTGTTTCAAACATTTGGGTAGAGTTCCAAGTTTAAAATACTTTCAAAATGAACAGAAAAAAATGGTTTCATATATAAAGTAAGTGTTTATAACTCAACATAGGGCACCTCAAATTATTTAAACAGCTCAAATCTGAATATTCCTAGTCAGGAACAAAATTAACCACAAACTTTTTTGATCTTCCACAAAAAATGTCCAAATGATAAAAAAATATCAATTCATTAGCATGTTACTCTGATTTAAGGCCTTTATGGGCCAATAATGAAAATCTCCTTTTTCTCCAGAAGTTCAAGGCATCCACCCTGCTTCAATTCTCCCGCCAAAATAATAAATAGGTTAGATTGAGAGATAGGAACTGGCTTCAGCTTCAATGACAAAGGGTTAGAATTATTTAGTGGCTCATTTATTTAGTTATATAATCTATATTTTGCCTTTCATACAGAAAGACAAAGTAATACAACCTTATTTTCTCCTCCTATTTTCCCATAACAATTGTTGAGATGAGGGTTGGGTTAAGAAAGTATGATTGGTTACTGGGTAAATTTACAGGGCTGAGAATAGATTAAAACCTGGTCTCTCCAGTGCCAATCCAACAGCTATCTTACCACTTGGCTACCTTGTCTTCAGCAAGTAGTCAGCTCAGATTCTGAAAAAAATGCCCTGTTCTTCCACATGGAAGGACATGGGCAAGAACAACAAACTAGAAAAATCACACCATAAAAGTGATGACAAGTCTGAAAGACAGTTCACCATATCTTGTCCACAAATAACTAGGCCCCATTTTCAACTTCATTCAACCAGTATACCCCAAGGTTTACATATAATCCTCCAACAATGGTATCTGGAATCAAGTTTTGCTTAATCATGAATTAATATGCTGATCTTGAACAATCTCTTAATTGGAATAACTAGGAGAAGTGCAATGAACCTTTCAATGTTTCTGAATAATTTATGAACCACAGTCAAATCAAACTTGCATATATTGTAAGAGGTAATTCCCACATTTTAGAAGTACAAATAAATTGAGCCCATTATTCCAAACAATAATCCTTTCCCTTTACTTTAAAACCTCAGATTGGGTGACCATGTGTACTTTTAAACATCTTCACTCTATTCAATATATTCTCAATATTGAATAGATTTAGAATGGAAATACTACAAATGTCAGGAAAACAGGCATGTACAAAAGATATAAGTTATCACTATACAAAATTCATATAACTTAAATCATTGGATAATATAAAACATTGTTCAGAATATTTTACACAAGTAAACATTCAGACTTTCTTTCAATCTTAAAGGTAAGCTCTTCAAAAGCTCCTTCCTGGTTGTTTTAAGTCTACATAAAAATGAGTTCTTAGATGGTTCTACTACTACAAAACTTTTAATGATGAATGAAAAAATACTCCCTGTCCTAAATAGGAATTATGTTTTAATCAGATGCATTAAAGCTCTTAAAATTACAAGTTAATCCTTGCTTAACAACTGGTCACTTAATGATTGAAGTTACAACACACCTTCCAAAATATACTTACAACCAGAGTTCCAGAGTTCCGACTGCTGACTACATTTTGGGCACTTGGAAATCAGCTTTTAAGGCTGATTGCAGCATTCCACAATTACATGACTGCAATTTATAATGATTTTTACATAATGATTTTCCTGCCTTTGGGGCCAGTTTCCACCAAACGAATGAATGGACTCACTTTACAACTGCTGTGTTTATTTAAAAACATTCATAAAGTCAAGTCTTAAAATTGGTTCAGTCATGTGGACATCTCAACTTATGATCACTTGTCATGAGTTGTAAGTCGAGGTCTACCTGTATGTGATATCCATCCTATAGTATTTTACAATCATCATTGCTTGCAAGTTTGGCCCTTGACAAGATACTGTCAGTGCCCTAGTACTCTTTAGACCAGTGGTTCTCAACCTTTTTAATGCCACGACCCCCAACCGGTCATAAGTCGAGGACTACACAACCGGTCGTAAGTCGAGGACTACTCAACTGGTGCAGCACCATTTGCAGAATGGGACTTTTGGCGGGCTCAGCAGGGCAGAGACAGCCTGGACAATTCCTATTGGTTTTTGAAAGCCAATAGAATTAGACTCTATTCAAGAGAGTCTATTCTATTGGCTTTCAAAAGCCAATAGAATAAAAGAGAGTAGCACAGCTAAGGAAAAGGGGGAAAAAATGACGGACTGCATTGTTTGGCGACCCCCGTGAAATGGTTGTTCGACCCCAAATGGGGTCCCGACCTACAGGTTGAGAACCACTGCTTTAGACTCATTAACCTGCCATATGTTCTGGGTGTAATCCATATTACTATATAGATGGAGAACAATCTTTTGCTGTCCTGGCTTGCTTGCCTGCTTTGAGAGGCCAGATGTACAGAAAAAAAAGTACCGTAACAAGAAAAAGTATTGACAAGTTCCATAGATGAACAACAAACCTCCTATTAAAGAGTTAATCTTGACAGATGCTGATTCTCAGTATCTACCCTGTCTGGTATACAGTATGTTTACCAAATATATCCAGTATATTCAGGCTATAGTAAAAAGACAGCATAAATGGATTGAATGCATTATCAACAAACAAATGGTAAAACTAAAAGGTAAAAATAAGTTAACAACTTATAGTCAATCCTATCTCTTGACTGGAAACAAGAAAAGAATCATTTATGTTTTAATGTAGAGTGGATAGAGTCCAACACCTGGAAACTCAATGGCATTTACACACATGCAACAATTACATGAAGAAAAGCAATACAGTTTCTTGAAAAGTTTACAGCTTCTTACTACCTTCCAAGCTTAGTAAAAGCAAAATTAAAACACAGAAAATGTTACCCTATTGAATACATTATGCAAACTAAAAGATATATGGGTTTTCTAAATTTGCATAATGGCCACAGATTACAAAACTCAGTTTTTGCCTAAATAATAAGTTAAGTTACCCAGGAACAAGTCTAATGAATACAGAAAATCGCACAATGTACTTCCAGATTTTACTCAGTTATAAAGTTCCTTAACTCATTTTGAGCTAATAATCGTTCAAAGCTACTTCCTAGGGACTTTGAAACAATAAATAAGATAGTTTCTCATCCAATGGTGTAATAATTGTCCCATGGTGTCCTTTGATAAGAAGAATAACATGTAGGAAAAATATACATGTAATATTTAGGATAAAATAAAACTTCATGTTTGTGAAAGACTTGTAACTACTTTTCCCAAATTCAAGTCCATTCTATAGCCTCACAAACCAATATGACATTCTTAAAGCAGAGCACAACCTTTGTTAGCTCAAGGAACCAATAAGTTAAGTCCCCTTTATGTCATTGCTATGTTAAGTATTCCCGTGTTGTAGATCATGGAAACCAAGGCTATGAGCTATCCTTTATTCCTTGCGTGCTATCTGACTTCTTGAAATCTATGCAAATCAGCAGCTTGCCATCTACGCACAAAGTACACACAAAGTTGTCTTGATTCCCCCCTCCCCATTCAGGAATCCACTCTTTTCCTAATGAGTGGTTTTGTCTTGTGTTTTGCCTTCCCTTCCTACTAAACAGCTTATAAAAATCAAAATACAAAAATAATTTAACAAGCAAACACAAAAGCAACCATCACTAGAGTAAATAAATACAGGCAATGGAAGGACTGAGTACTTGTTTTAAAAATACTACATTTGGCCAACCTCAGCATTAGCCGGTAGTTTACAAATATACAAACCAGGGTCATGTGTTTACATATATGCTCCAGGGAAACAGATTCAGTGTTTCTGAGATGGATCCAGCACCTCTCCTTTCTAAAATGAAGGAGCCAGATCTCAAGCTCAGCTGAAAGTTGAGCTATTGGTCACCAAGCTCCTACCTCAATTTTCAAAAATATAGATCTTACACTGATTATATATTAGTGAGGAAAATATGAGCCACACAATATGAAAGTCATATTTTTAATTATATTCCAAGTCTTAAATATTAATCATAGTATTGAGAAGAAAGTATAAGCCAGGGGAGAGGGGGGTCAATAATGCATGCTACCAGGGTCAGTAACTTCTATAAGGCAAATCATTCTACGTGGTTATTATTGATCATTCTGCTAATTAATAGAACATGAAATTACATTATAATTATTCCTATTTTGCAGATGGGAAGAGCAAGGCTCAGAAGGAAATGATTTGCTCAAAGTATACAGATACCCTAAAAAATAGGGCAACATTCCCCTCTCACCGTGAGCTTCCTGGCCCTCCTGGGTCGTGCATGGCATTTCTGCCAGGCCATCATTGCTCCAGCACGCCGCCATCGTCTCTCCCAACATTCAGCATCGTTGTTCCGCAAACTTGTCAGCCAGATGCAGCGAGGTTCTGGCAAGCTACAATCTACTCCAACAGCTTGCTCAAAATGCCAGCCATTCCCTGTTCGTGCCACACTCCATACTGCTTTGCTTACCACTGAAATGCCCCGCTGTGATGAGGCAAGAAAGTGTGGGGATCTCTGTTGCCTGCCACTACAGGGAGCTGGATCTCCCCGGCTTCTACCTTCTTCTACCATTCCACTCTGAAGCAAAGAAAATTTCTGATCCAGAAGCAGCAATATCAAAAGAGACAGAACCAGTTGATCAGAGTAAACTTGGAGGCTTCAAAAGCTTTTTTCCCAAAAGCTAGGTCGTTCTGATTTCATTGAGATTCACTGATCAATAAAACATAGATTTCTCCCTTACTGTTCTGTTTGCTCGTATGTTGCTCTTCTCTCCTATTCAAAAAGTTGTTCTTGCTGTCTCAAGTCTTTTGTCTTCATATCAAATGTTGATTTCCAAGTCCAGGCACGCCAGATATCTGTAGGCTCATACACTCAAGTGAACATGTCAACTGGCCTTGGAATAACACGTTCCCCTTCCTAAAGAAGGTGGAAACAGAGAGGGAAAAGCCCTAGGGCTGAACGCACAAAGCTAATTGCAAGGGGAGAAGTGGAAGAGGAGGAGGAGGAGGAGGCGTCAGCGGCAATAGCAAAATCTGCCTGATGAGAATGAGATGGATGCAAATCAGAGAGACTGGGTTGGGACTTGACAGCTAGGCAGGCAGAAAGAGAATAAAGCTTTACTCCTTCACACAGACAGTCGTGCAGCTGCTCTGAACTATCAGACCATCTCTGCCCCACCCCACCTCTCAGTGACCCAGCCCACTCCAGCTGACACCATCTCAGAGCCCAGGCTGAGCTGGGCTATTGGGGGGGGGGGAGAGAAGGGAAAGAGTTACATGCATTTTGCTACGGTTACACTCTCTTTAATCTCCTGCATTTCTCCCAAATAAAAGAATATACACACAATTTCCCTTTCTTCTTAAACTTACTTGAAAAGAGCTGGAAGACTTAGAAAAGACTTAATTTTCTTTTGGTCAAAAAATTCTGCAGTGTGAATATTGGGGAATCTCAAGATAGTGTCCTCATTCAAAAAGCAACCATGGATCAGATGTGACCTATGCTAAACATAAAGATATTTCATATATACCTACTGAAAATAACTCCAAGGAAAGAAAGAACTGTTGAACTAGAATATTTGAGACACCATAATATATGATGGATATTATGTTTATTCACATGATGTCATCAGCAAAGTTTCAACTTCTTCCTTATGATTATCTGATATATCAAACTATTTAGATCAGGCTGAGGCAAGCCGGGCTAGAGAATTTTGGGAGTTAAAGTTCATGCATCACAAAGGTTGCCAATATTGAGAAACACTGATCTAAATATCTAGTAATTCAGCTTGTATATTTGGTCTTGACTGACTATAAACTTACTCAAGATAAGCTGCTTTCACCATCTATTTGATCAAAAGAACAATGAGACTCTTCTAAAACATGCCTTACTTCAAAGAGGATGTGAAATGGAACTTGGATCCCATCAAGACCAGAAAACATCCAGAATTTAAACCAAGTATTAATGTAAAAACTAGAGCATGAAATTATTCAATAAAGTACATGGATGAATATTTTTGCCTAATTAGGTGATCTCTCTTTCCAGATAACTTTTTACAAGCTGCCTTGTGTTGTAACCCGTTGTCTTGCCCACAATCCTTTTTCTTTCTAGATCTTTTTCACTTATCCTACCTTTTCTACTTATCCTACTATCCTATCAACTTTTCATCCTCTTTCTCAACTAACATTCCATTCATTTAATTCTGATTCTACCCCACTTTCTATATACATACCAAGAAAATGTTGAAATTAAATAGAATTTAATTTTAGCCATGGCAAGAGTGAAGCAAAGGATATTCCGATGTATGCATAAAACATATTACCCTTTCCGACAGTAAGGAAGTTGCTTCTACATGTTGGGAGAAGGTGATCATGGATGTTACAGAAAGTATGGGGAATTCTGGAAACAAAGTGGTGGGAATAATTTTGGTAGAACTGTATTTTGATGTCCCTCTCTCACTTCTCATATTTCAACAGACCCACCAGAAAAAAGTACTTAGTGTGGTCTATATGATCAAGGCCATACAGAGACAGATAGAAAGACAGACTTGTTTGTATTAGTTGCACTGGTGGAAAGCATGGGAGAATAGTTGGAGATTCATGAGTATATCCACACAGGAATTCTGGGAGATACTATCCCAACCAAGGAGCTATGGTGCCATAGTTAGCCTATAGTGTTCATATTCCATTGGCATAATCAGTTTAGGAAGCAGTAGATGAATCACACAAACCAGAAGTTATTCATAAGTATGCAAAAGAGACATTTAAATATTACTGTGGATTGACTGGGGATTTAGCTGTTTTCTTGAGCAACCACATCACTATAACATCCACATCAGCACTTCTATTGCAAGTGTGGAATCCCCCCATCCACAATAACTTGTGGTATCTCAAGTTCAATCATCTTCAGAAGGATTGTCTTAAGTTCTATTTTGGCTGCCATAAGCTGAGAGAAAGCCAGGAATTCTAACTCTTGGGTCTGTTTGCTTCAGAATTTTCATGGCTTATTTTAAGTAACTAATAATTTCCAGCCAGTATGAGGTTACTTGAACTTTTCATATCATTTTGCTTTTCTAAATCATTGTTATCCATCCTGAAGACTCCAAAAATGGAACAGATTGAAAGCTCTAAACAAATTGTTGCAATAGTCACAATATTAGATTTATTTTCCAGCATTCAATAAAAGGGCTCCATGTTTTTGAGGTTGATGATGATTGTTATTGTTATTATTATTATCCACACTATAGTCTCACTCATGTTACATTTATAATTTAAACTATAAGATATGATGGGGGAAAGTAAGACAGATGGGCAAGAGTATTTCATTCTATGTTCTAAGGATTTGCAGATGGGGATGCTCTTTCCAGAACACATATAGCAACTGAAAAACTAAACAGATTAAAAGATTCTTCAAATGAAGGAGATAGTTTGTGCTTGGGGTGAACATTCTGGATATAGAAAAGCATACAGCAATCTCCTCTACTTCAAAAAGGTTGATTCTAGAGAGTCACATGCAAGTGCTACTGAAAACAGTCTCATTACTCAGGGTTAGCTCATTCAGTGCACCCATTTCAGTCCTTCTGCAATATCAGCACCCCTGGGGATGCTATTCTGAAAAGAACAAAGAAAAAGTGGTGCTGCTGGCAGTCACAATTCTATGGAAGCAATCTTGTTTAATGAGCCGGAATTAGTTGGCTGTGTTTGGGGTGGGAGTGGGGGAAAAGATGGCATACGTCTGATATCAATTCAGCTTTGTTGATCCCCTCAATTCTGGAGATGAAAAACTTGGAAGCTGGAAGAGAGACAGCATATGCAGAGGCCTCTTGGTAAACAGACTTAATGTGGAGGGGGAGTGAAGTGGAATGGAGTGGAGTAATTTAGGAATATTCTTTTTTCCTGCACTCATTCAAAGCATACCTTTCTTCTTCAAAACCAAGTTCTATTTAAAAAATAAAATGTATGTTGGAAACAAAAACAAGCTATACATAGTCCTGATTGTCTGATGTTCCATGTTTTCATTAAGGAACATCTTCATCTTTTGAAACCTAAGGAAAAGCAAGACTAACAGCTGAACTAGCACTTGATTTGCTGCTATTGCTGGAATGCATGTCTGCCATTTCAGATGCAAAGCTGGATTTCTACAGTTAAGGGACCACCATGATCCTTTTCTCTAATATTATATCTTTCTTTGCTATGAACAATTGGAGCCAGTTTCACATGTCTCGTTGCATTGATTCCCAGGATCAAAGTGTAATGTCAGAAAAGCCTATAATTTTTTGTTGTAATTAAATGGCTTCACGTGCATTGATTCAAAAATGTATACAATAATCCATAAAAATAGGCCAGTAATATAGTCTTATACTGCAGCTAGGAGATTAAAATGTGGTAGTTGTGGCAAAACTGAATATATGCTTAGTACATATTTAGACTACATACTAAAACTTCAAAGTTTCCAGTTCTTAAGACATAACCAATAAATGCTGCCACATTTTAACCCTGAGAAAAAATTGACTGAACAGAGATAGGAAGGACAACTTCACAGAAAATGAAATAAAATGAATGCTTCTTTTGTTAATGTCCAGGTTGTTATACATTTATAATGCAAGCATGTGTTGGAGAATCAAAAGCAGGAACAGAATTTCTCTTTATTGCCATGTTTTTTTCCCCAGAGGTAAAAGGATGAGCAAAAGCCATTCTGGTGTAATGGTTAAGATATCAGGCTTAACTTGATATTGGGTGACCATACGTTCTAGTCCCATCTTAGGCACGAAGCCAGTTGGGTGACCTTGGGCCACTCTTGCTCTCTCAGTCAAAGAACCACTGTGAAGTAACCTGAAAATGCACTTGGAAAAATGTATAAAACCATGGCAGAGCTACTGCAAAAATCTTGGAATGAAACGGGCAGGAACTTGTCCAGGCAGATATCAGGAGTTTTGCCTTCTTTCTGAATAACGAAAACCCACTCTCAGATAAAGGAATAAGGGAAAATAAAAATCAACTACTCAAAATATTCAAGCCAGTAAGAGATAACGGAGCTTCATTTCCTGAACCTAAAAAAAACACAGAGCAATTCTGGGAATAAATAAAAAAAAGTAAGAACCTACAATAAAGAACCACTGTGAAGTAATCCGCATCATTTCCAGAAAGGAGAAAATGAGGCTCTTTTCTCTTGCTCTATGCAAGGTTTAAGCATTCATACTGCAAATGATCCACAAATAATCATGAATCACACTAACCAAACTTTTTGAAAAAAACATGTAAGGGATTACCCATTACAAATACAGGTTACACAGTCAGAGATTTCAACAAGGAATCACAGAATCATAGCAGTTGGAAAAGACTTTGAAGGTCATCTAATCCAATTGCCTGCCCAGGGCAGAAAATTCATACTATTCCTGCCCAATCTTTTACTAAAAATCTCTAGTGAAGTTTTCTCCAGCAAGATGAGTGAGTTTTCAGTGAACCTTTTACGGGGGTGGGGGGATGTATGCAACCTTGAATTCTTAAATAAAAAGCTGCATATAAATGTAATAAAAATATACATTCAGATTCAGCTCCCTGCTGATAATATAGAGTTAATACCATATTGATTTACCTTTTAGTTTGTTGGCACTGATTTATATAAAATATGTGTAATATGTAACATTTAAATTCTCAAAAATCTTATATATATATATATATATATATATATATATATATATATATATATATATAGGTCTTTGGTTGTTCGGGTTTTCTCCCGCGTAAAATTGGAAGTGTCTTGGCGACGTTTCATACGAAGTCCCATTCGTCATCTTCAGGCTGGTGTTTTCGGCTTCGGCACGAAGCCAATCAAACAAGCCTGAAGATGAACGAATGGGACTTTATTCGGTCGGCCAAGACACTTCCAATTTTACGCTGGAAATTATGTCCTTATACAAATATTATACCTCAGAATATATATATTTATATATATATATATCGGTTGTTCGATAAAATGGAAGTGTCTTGGCGACGTTTCAACGAAGTCCCATTCGTCATCTTCAGGCTGGTGTTTTCGGCTTCGGCACGAAGCCAAAAACACCAGCCTGAAGATGACGAATGGGACTTTGTCGAAATGTCGCCAAGACACTTCCAATTTTACGCGGGAGAAAACCTGAATAACCAAAGACCTTTATACAAACACCCGCGAAAACCTCAGAATATATAT